CCAGGCCTTCTCCATCCTCTGGAACTTTCTTTGTATCTTTGGTGAGACCCCAAGAGTAAACACTGACCCAACATGAGACACATCGTACCTGATTCTTGTCCAGCCAGTTGATGATTTCATTGCATTTGTCCAGGATCTTCTGCTTGTCCTCATCAGAGATCTTGCCCTGGAGCTTCTCATCTTCAACAGTAGCTTTCATGTTGAAGGCGTAAGACTCCAGGGAGTTCTTAGAGGACACCTTATCACGCTGCTTCTCATCTTCTGCTTTGTACTTCTCTGCTTCCTGAACCATCCGCTCAATGTCCTCCTTGCTCAGCCGGCCTGTGCAACACAGGTAACAGTTTCCCCATTAGCCATTTCCAGTGAGGGATTAATTACATGCTCCCGTGTGCTACCAACTCATTATGAGAGAAGGCAGAGTTTGACAAGCCAAATCATCAGAAACACACAATCCTTACCCTTGTCATTTGTAATTGTGATCTTGTTCTCCTTGCCAGTGCTCTTGTCCACAGCAGACACGTTCAGGATGCCGTTGGCATCAATATCAAAGGTTACTTCAATCTGAGGTACACCTCTGGGAGCAGGGGGGATACCAGTCAGCTCAAACTTGCCCAGCAAGTTGTTGTCCTTGGTCATGGCACGTTCTCCTTCATATACCTAGGGTAAAAGAACCAGCAAAATTAAGTCTTAAGTTTGACCACACGTTACTAAATTTTATCAGAGTATTATCCTGCAGTGACACGGTCGCTCAGACATCCAAGGAAGGTACTTGGACCAACACGAGTCTTTCGACTTCTGGTAGAAACTACGAATGGCTTTGGAATCACCTTCATCACAGCAACCAGCTATGTCCCAGCATCCCTTCGTAATGCCAGGAACACAGGACCTCAGGCCTAAGCTTTACTTCAAGGATCAACCTCTGGAAGTGTTGACAGGGCCTTATGACTGTGTGGGCACCTCATCAGTCCACCCTAGTGTTTGGAATTGCTTACCTGGATGAGCACACCCGGCTGGTTGTCCGAGTAAGTGGTGAAGGTCTGGGTCTGCTTGGTGGGGATGGTGGTGTTCCGCTTGATCAGGACTGTCATGACACCTCCAGCAGTCTCAATACCCAGAGACAGAGGAGTCACATCCAACAGCAGCAGATCCTGCACGTTCTCAGACTTGTCTCCAGACAGAATAGCAGCCTGAACAGCTGAAAGAAAAGGAAAACCATTAAGAGCTCTGCAACAGATACACTGTGCCCCACACTTAGCCCCATGGCTCGCTCAGACATCCAAGGAAGTATTTGGCCATCATCAGTAGACTTCTGGTGGAAACTACGAATGGCTTTGGAACCTGATTCATCATTGCAAGTCCAAGTTAAGATTTCTTACTGCTTTGAAAAGCTTTACCAATCAGGTGGAAGATTTAGGGGCCTACACTAGTACTGCTCTGAGACTTCAGATAGTACCCAGTTTGCCAACACCACCACCCAGTTTTGGCTCAGATGTGTATTTGTCATTACCTGCACCATAAGCCACAGCCTCGTCAGGGTTGATGCTCTTGTTCAGCTCTTTGCCATTGAAGAAATCCTGCAGGAGCTTCTGAATCTTTGGGATACGGGTGGACCCACCGACCAGCACGATGTCGTGGATCTGCGACTTGTCGAGCTTGGCATCCCGCAGGGCCTTCTCCACAGGATCCAGGGTGCCACGGAAGAGGTCGGCGTTCAGCTCTTCAAAGCGAGCTCTGGTGATGGACGTGTAGAAGTCGATCCCCTCATAGAGAGAATCAATTTCGATGCTGGCCTGGGTGCTGGACGACAGCGTACGCTTGGCACGCTCGCACGCCGTGCGGAGGCGACGCACCGCCCTCTTGTTCTCACTGATGTCCTTCTTGTGCTTGCGCTTGAATTCAGCAATGAAGTGGTTGACCATGCGGTTGTCGAAGTCTTCACCACCCAAGTGAGTGTCACCTGCGGTGGATTTCACCTCAAAGATGCCATCTTCAATTGTCAGAATTGACACATCAAAGGTGCCACCTCCAAGATCGAAGATAAGAACGTTCCTTTCAGCACCAACCTAGAAGACATCAATTTTCATAATACAATTAATTTTCTACTGTTCGTTCAGCAGACTTATTAGTCAGGTATCAGAGATACTAAGCCTTCAGATAGCCTACCTTTTTGTCCAGCCCATAGGCTATGGCAGCAGCAGTTGGCTCGTTAATAATTCTCAGGACATTGAGCCCTGCAATGGTTCCAGCATCTTTTGTAGCCTGACGCTGAGAGTCGTTGAAATAGGCTGGTACAGTCACTACAGCATTAGTAACAGTCTGCAAAAAACACAAATAAGAAGAGTCAGTTATATTCATTAACTACCCATGCACACCAAACTCTTAATTACAATTCACTGAAGTCCAAAACCTCACCTTCCCAAGATATGCTTCTGCAATTTCCTTCATTTTGGTTAAAACCATGGAAGAAATTTCTTCTGGGTAGAAACTCTTTGTCTCGCCTTTGTACTCCACCTGGACTTTGGGTCTGCCAGCATCGTTCACCACAGTGAAAGGCCAGTGCTTCATATCAGACTGGACAACGGAATCATCAAATCTACGCCCAATCAACCGTTTTGCATCTGAAAAAAAAAAAAAAGAATTGGCCATGTTAGGTATGTTCATTCACAAGGGATGATATCAAGTTCTTCTTAGAAAGAACGCACAAATCCCAAGACACATTATTTAACCTGAAATTCTTAGTGCCTTGGCAGGTTCAGGCACCACAGCAGAGCAACAGCTGCTGTACCACAAACCACCGCCCTCTGGCAATTAGACCCAGACACTTAATCAAGGCCAATTAACACTAACTGCCAAAAACAACCTTCAGTTTTTTTAACTGTGAGGCACATACTTTCCCAAGACGTAATAAAGCTTAATTATCAGTCCTATTATTGAGATTGAAAACAAGCTAGGAGTTCTGATTTCCAAGACAAAGCCTTAACTCTGCTATCAGTAACATCCACCACCCCCACGCTGCGGTTCTCTGCCTATTTTTGCAGCCTTACCAAAAACTGTATTGGTTGGATTCATCGCCACTTGGTTCTTTGCAGCATCGCCGATCAACCTCTCTGTATCCGTGAAGGCCACGTAGCTCGGCGTGGTCCGGTTGCCCTGATCGTTGGCGATGATTTCCACCTTCCCATGTTGGAACACGCCAACGCAGGAGTAGGTGGTGCCAAGATCGATTCCGACAGCTGGTCCCTTCGACATCTTGTCTGAGGGGGAGGAAAAATAAATTCACGTCTAAAATTGGACTTAAATTCAAATATTTCATTGCTGTTATCCTATGTTGAAACAGCAGCGGCTCTAGCGCAGCCGTTAATGCGTTCTGAACCGCTATCACGTGGCGTCCGACCACGTGGCGCCAAGCCACATGGCCCGGGACTACATTTCCCGCCATGCCCCGCGCGGCCGGGGAGGGTCACGTGGCCTCCGGGCGGACATCTTGTGCTGCCGGGAGCTGTAGTCCCGGCCCTGGCGAGCACCGCGCCCGCCCTGCCATGCGGCCTGGCACAGCCCCAGCCCCGCTACCACCCCCCACACACGCAATCCCCACTCCCTCCCCGAGCCCTCGGGGCCCACGGCCACCGCGCTGCGGTCCTGCACGTCCCTTCTTTTCCTCCATTCCCCCCTCCCTCCCTTCTGCCCGCCTCCGGGGACTACAAACCCCAGCATCCTCGGCAGCCCCACGGGCACCGCTCCACCTCTCCCTCTCCCCCCCCACCTCTCCCACACACAGCCCCAGGCGCTCCCGGCGGGAGATAATGCGGTCAATCTCCTCTAGCCCTCCCCCTTCCGCCCCCTCCAAGCGTTTCGAGAAAAAAATGGGAAAAATCGCCGTGAGGTCAGAAAAGGAAAAAAAAAAGGGTAGGGTGACCTCATCGTAACAGAGTAACCCATCGCTGCAGCGACAGAAGACCCTCCACCCCCTCAACCCGGCCAGATCCCCCGTAACGCAACCGCCTACGCCGCGCAACGGCTCCCCCCCTCCCACCCCGCTCTCCCCC